CCCAGTCCAACACTCTTTGTTACACGGTGGCCAGAAATACCAGGGGCCATCAGGAGGTCCACTAGTGGGGCCAGAGCTCCAGAAGCCCTGCCACTGTGCCGCCGCCCCCCAAGCACCAAGAAGACAGAGCATCGCTGCCAACCACCTCTGAAACATCTCTTGCCTTAAAACCAAGTCTACCTCACCACCTAGTGGTGCTAACGAGCTAGAACTTCTGGCTGCCAGACAGTCTTAGGATCTCCTGGCTGTTCTACACACAATGCCATACAATACTTATAATTGTTAGCTGAGGTGATGTGGGAGGCATGTCGAAATCTCTGAGATGCTCTACAGGAGGGGAGGCAGCGTGGTATAGCTGGATCTCGTCAGATCTTGGAAACTAACCAGGTTCAGTACTTGGACGGGGGGAGGCCCACCAAGGAAGACTCTGCAGAGGAAGGCAATGGCCAACCACCTCTGCTTCTCACTTGCCTTGAAAGCCCCTAGTTGGGTTGCCATAAGACACTGTGTTCCATCTATAGGTAAAGGTTTCCCTTGCTCGAAGGCCAGTCAAATCCAACTCTAGGGATGTGGTGCTCATCTCTGTTTCCAAGCCGAAGAGCCAGTGCTGTCCAAAGGTGTTTCTGTGGTCATGTGGCCGGCATGACTAGACGCTGAGGCTCACGGAACACTGTCACCTTCCCACCAAAGCGGTACCTGTTTATCTACTTGCAATTTCTTGTTTTCAAACTGCTAGGTTGGCAGGAGCTGGAACTAGAGATGGGAGCTCACTCCGTCATATGGCACACTCGGGTCTCGAACTGCCGAACTACCGACCTTCCGGTCTTCAGTTCAGTGTCTTAACCACTTGAGCCACCGGAGCCCATCCCGTTCCATCTATACCTTGTAACTAATAGCCACTCCTGGACCCCTGTGCTCCATATGTTTATCCGATCCCCTCTAGACCACCAAGAATAGAAATCCGGGGTAAGTAAACACATTTTCCTTTCATACATATTTATAGCAAGAGTATTTCAGCAGGGGAATCGGCTTCCGAGGGAGGTGGTGAGCTCCCCCTCACTTGGCAGTCTT